GGGGGGGGGGACAGCAGACAGGAAGGGAGGGACAGGAGGAGGGGCTGCAACATCCTGGATCCTACCCTCATGTGGCCCGTCTATGCCTGTCACAGGATTGCTTCTCTTGCTCAATATCAGTTTCCTCCTTTGTCGGTAATACCGTTTTCTGCTAGTGACCCCACCCCCTCAGTCCAGCCACGTGATTCTGGCTAGACAGGCCCTGATTGGCCGCATGCTTGGTGACATCACCTGGGACCGGCCTATAGGTGTATTACAACCCCCTGACCACAACAACAGGCTTGAGGAGCTGTATTTGATCCCAGATGGTCTAATGACAGGTGGCACTAGACTTCTGCTGTAAGTAGAAAGGTGTTCATTTCTCTGCTCAGGTGGCCTGGCTGGAAATAAGCCTGGCACTGTTAGAAGCTGTCTGCTCCCAGACTGTGAAAGGCTACCTGACAATGGCACCAAGAAAAGCAAACCCAGAGACAGAAAGTGACAGATGGGGGGGGGCAGCATCTGGATCCAGCCGTGACTCAAGTGGCCACGTCCTCCACAGAACTCCACTTGGACCAGCTCAGGTGGGAAGGGGTTGACTGAAAGACATTCAGATTCTCAGCTTACAAGTGATGGACACCCAGTTCACAAAGGCTTATGGTCCCAAAAGTCTGTGGTCAGCAGTTGTAGGGAGTGGGGAAGGGACATTAGCAGGAACTCTACCATGGGTCCTGACCTGTGAGCCACCACAGCACAAGGTGAATTACAGAACAGACAGAAATAAGGGTACAAGATCCCAATGATGAATGTAACTGTACTGTATACTTAAAAAGTACCAATAAACTCAATAAAATTTTTAAAATCAGACAGAAATGAGACTCAGAGTGAAGAGGCTGGGTCTTGGGACCTCGTCAGTGCTGCTGAGGGCAACAAAAACAAAAGCCCCCAAGCACATCCGGTATTTATTGAATACAATCGTGGGAAGGAACAGGAAGCTAGGCAGCTTTGAGATAATCTAGTGAAATACTACTGAACACCTGGCATGATGGCGCCAGGCAGGGCTGTCAGGAAGTAGGCACTGCTTATCTTGCTAGGGTAGAAGAAACCGGTACTGGGACCAGGCACAATGAGCCAGCAACCCACAAGGTCAGTGAGAAGCGATAGTTCAGGGGAAAGGACTTTAATTGGGGTCACGCTGACCTCAACTGCACATAACTCAGCAGAGCCCTGCCACTTCACAGACCAGGACTTAGGCCTCGGTGACAGCCATTAGCAAAGGAGCAATACTAGCCCAACTCTGCTAGCTGTCAGGCCTGTTTGAGTCACACAGGGCTTTGGTCTGACTCCTGATATAAACCAGTATGGCCGAATTAAGGAAGGCAAGAAGCATGTGACAGTCATAGCCCACTAGTACTGAGCAGGGATGTCTCCTACAAGCAATCTCCGCCCACATCAGAGGGGCTCAGATTTTCAGAGGACACTGGTATGCACAGACCAAGATGTGCCTGCCCCTTGGGAAAAAGGGCCAGAACTCTCTATCTCACCTGATTGGCTGTCGAGGCTTGATGTCAACTGGGGGTGGGGCAGGCACATCCTTGGGGAAGATGTCAATCCACATATGAAGGGATCCCTAGGGGGCAGAGGACTAGGTTGAGGGTCATGCCAGGGTCTCCACCTCCCCTGATAGCCCCATGGCCACAGAGAAGAGCTGGGAGAGGGGCATCCATGCAGATCCTGTAGGATAGGCATGAAGGTGGAGTCTGGACTAAGGGTTATAGGGTCAAGGTTGGATTGAGGATTCAGGAGTAAGGACCCAGAAGTGGAATATTGGGATCAAAAGTAAGATCTGGTGTTCCTAAGGTCTTAGTGAACAAGGTTGAAGTCAGATTGGGAATCCTACGTCTGAAACTTGGTGCCCCAGGGGTAGGATCCTGCAAGATCAGATTCAGGAATAGAATAAAGAGTCCCAGCATGGAGGTCCAAGATTCCAAGACCAGACTGGGGATGCTGGCAAGCAGCATGAGGAGCCCATAGTCAAGTGGCAGGATGGGACCCAAGTAGAAGTCTTGGAGAAAAGGTATGCTGGGTGCCAGTGACCAGAACGAAGCGGAAATCCTTGGATTTTGCCAGTCCTAAGTCTTGGATCCTGAGCACCCCCCTTACCTGCAGCAGCCCTGGGTTGCGGGGATGGTAGAGGGGCCGAGTTTCCACATGCTCAGGTACCAGCTGGATCCCAAGCCCTGGCATCTCCTGCCAATGCCGCAGCACAAGTAATGCCTGGGCCTCTTCAGAGGTCCCATTTGCCAACTGGGCCCCCCCCACACCTGAAACAGGAGGTGCATGGACTTAGTTCCACACAATAGCCAACTCTCCCTTCTACCTCCTGTCCCTCCTCAGAAGATCTAAACTGAGAGCACTGGATAAAGTCCATGGGCTGGGAGACTAGGAGGCCAAGTGGGCCACACACAAAGTGGGAGGGGTTAGTGCTATAACAACTTGGGTTGGTAAGAGCTGGCAGTCAGGGGACCAGGGCATGGAAGGGGCTGTAGCCTTTGCTCAGACCCTGTTCAGAGAATAGACCTCTGGACATTCCTGAGGCATGAATCAGTTCTGCAGCCACATGCTGTTGTGTGGACACTCTGGGGAGCTGCCCTGTGGTGTGGAAACTTGATTAGCTATGGCTCTGAGGGGGTCCAATTAAAGACCTTTCTATGCAACATCCAAGAACCTCATTCTGACTCAACCAAACACAATTTTCTGCCTGTTGCCTCAGCAAGCTCTCTTTAGGGGTGCACTAAACCGGCACCGGGCTACCTCTACCTTGTTCCCCTTGGCCTGTCCAGCAGAGAGGGGCCAGTACCTGTAGGCAGAGTCTCAGGCGGTGTCGGAAAGACTTTGCTGCCCACCTTGACAGCCCCAGCTCGGTATTCAGGGACAGGGAGGCCACAGCGCTGGCACAGCCCTGCCAGGATCTGTGAAGGCCGGAATGCATCACGCCAGGCATTGTACCCATCCCTAAGGGAAGGAAAAGAAGAGGCCTCAGCTGGTGCCCGTCTATGGTCACAGACAGGCACAGGGGCAGGGATGAGGACCCTTGAGGACATGGGATCCAGGTTCAGAACCCCAAGAGGACAGGTTGTCCTTGTTTATAGAATTGATGAAAATCAAAGATGACTAATACTATGAAGGAGATCTTGTTACCATCTGTATTTGGCAGATGAGATACTGAGGCACAAGAGGTTGAATGACTTACTAGTTACAGGGTCCTAACACCCAAGCCAAGTCTTAGCAGGGGGTAGTTAGTTCCTCTTTTTGTTGCTATTTGGGGTGGGGGCTACGGGTATTGAACTCCAGACCTTGTGCTTTCAAGGCAAGCAGTGAAACCACTAAGCTAAATCCCCAGACCCTACTTCCCCTTTGTGAAATTTCAAGATCCAGAGACACAACTGGGGAATGTGAGCTTGCAAGTGTTTGGTCAGAGAGGTAGAACAGCTCCCGAGGGCCCTGCCAGACTCACATGTCATACTGGGAGGCCAGCCCACAGTTTGCTCTGTGGTGGCTGTAGAATCGGTTTTCCAGATCAATGTGGGTCTCCCCAATGAGGTCATCAGAACCCACAAGGTCGTGATCGAATACAGCTACAGTCAGCTCTGGCTCAGCCGGAAGAGAAATGCTTAGCTCCAGGACCCTGGCCAGGAGAAGGATGGCCTCAGAGGTAGTCTGGAGTGGGGCCGCCATCTCACGCCTCACCAAGCCCGCCACCTGTAAGAGCCCCAGAGCCACAGACTGACAGCCAAGTTGCTCCCCGATTCCCCAACTCTAAGGCCCGGCCTCACTCTCCAAAGATGGGGTTGAGCTGCTTGGGGATGTAGCGTTCCTTGGTGTCCTGCCGCTCCTTGCCAGCGCTCACCACCACATAGGGGTCCGCTTTGCCATTGGGGTCTGCAGGAGCCAGATTGGTTGCCTAAGGGATGGCATGAAATGGAATTAGGCAGAGTGTCATTATCATGGCCCAAACTCTTACTTATTTATTTGGTACCCAAGATTGAACTCGGGCCCTTGCACTTGCAAGGCAGGCAGTGGAAACACTGAGCTAAATCCCTGGCCCTCCCAAACCCTTTTTGGATCTAATCTCAACATAAGTTTAAGGAGGAAATGACCAAGAGGAAGATTCCCTCACTGAATGGTTGCATAAGATTACTTTTTCAATTCGTTATGAAATACTTAGGATATACAGTCCAGGCATGGTGGTGCATCCCTACAAATCCAGCACTTGAGAGGCTGAGGCACAAGGATCGCTGCCAGCCTGGGCTACATAGTGAGTTCAAGACCAACCTGAACTACACAGCAAGATCCTATCTCAAAATACAAAAACAAAACAAACAGCCCTGGGGATTTAGCTCAGTGGTTCTGTTGCCTGCCTCACAAGCACAAGGTCCTGAGTTTGATCCCCAGTACCAAAAAGAAAAAACAAACAAAAATATATATAAACAAATAGATGTGATAAAAACTTTAATGATGCAAAAAATTTGTTTAAGGAGCTTACTATTAAACTTACAGATTTCTGTACTGATAATTTTTTTCCCCCAATCCTGGGGATTGAACTCAGCCAGCACTAACATATGTTAGGCAAGTGCTCTAAATAGAGGAAGGAGAAGAGAGGGGAAAGTGATGGGATCTAAAAGAACTAAGATGTGTTATACATGTACCAACTCCCCACAATGAATGCAATCCTGCTGTATTCCAAACAGGTACCACTAATACAGCTGAAGAAATAAAGAGTTGTGTCTCTGAGCTGCATACCCAGGCCTGGACCTTTATTTTTTATGATGAGCAGATTTCCATCCTCCTCTCTGAAGTAAACTAAACCCTTTACCTAGGATTAATCACTCGGTTGTGTATTTTTATATTTTTATTCTATCTACATGTATCCCTAAGGAATACATAGCACTACTTTGTATGCTTTAAAGATGCACATTTTAAACTTTTTTTATTACAAAACAATTTAGTAAATGTAACTTCTGCATAAATGATTAAATATAATTTATAGGCAACTATGTTTATTAATGTTTTTTCACATTCCTACCTGAAATAAACAGTATAAAGGTTCCAGTTGTTCTACACTTTTATCAACATTCGGAATTTGTTTGGGTTGTTGTTTTGTTTTTGTTTGCGGGGCAGGGTCTCAACTGTGTAGATCAGGCTGGCCTTGAACTCACTACATAGCCCAGACTAGACTCGAAGTCATAGCGATCCTCCTATCTCAGCCTCCCAAGCGCTGAGATTACAGGTGTGCGCCACCAGACTCAGCACCAATATTTGGTACCGACAAATCTTTTTCATTTTAGCCGTTCTGGAATGTGTGAAGCAGTAAAGTAGCTCATTGTGGTTTTCATTTGCATTTCCCTGATGACTAATGAAGTTAAGCTTTGTTTGAAGCACTTTACTGTCCATTGTGTGTGTGTGTGTGTGTGTGTGTGTGTGTGTGTGTGTGTGTAGTGACTGTTCAATCTTTTGCCTCATCATTTAGGTTTTTGTTGTTCTTTCATGGTACTGGGCTTCACACACGCTAGACAACTGCTATCTTTCCACTGAGCTAAATCCCCAGGCCAGGTTTGTTTTTTGTTTTTTTTTTTTTTTGGTGCTGAGGATAGAACTTGGGACTTTGTGCTTGTGAGGCAGGTGGTAAAACCACTAAGCTAAATTGCCAGCCCTTTTGCCAAGCTTTAACTTTATTTTTTGTGGATGAACCCAGGGCTTTTGCAGTGAGCTATATCTCCTGTTCTTTTTTATTTTTACACCCAATAAGTTGCCCATGTTGGGCTCCAACTTATGATCCTCCTGGCTCAGCTTCCCAGCCTGCTGGGATTACAGGTGTGCACCACCACATCTAGTTTGGAGGTGAGGCTTTTAACCACTTAAACGAGTACGCAGTCCTACTTCATTGTGGTTCTCATATGTATTTCCCCAGGGAGCAATGATATTGGACATATTTTCATAGGCTTATTAGGCATTCTGATTACTTGTTTTGTGCACAGTACCTATCTATGTCTATTGTCAATTTTTCCACTGTCTTTTTCTTACTGATTCCACTGACATATTCTGGGTATTTGTCCTTTGTTGATTATAGCACAAACATCTCCCAGTCCGTGCCCCATCTCTTTACTCTCTTAGAATAAAATCAATTTATTGATATTTCATTCATGGCTAATGCTCTGTTTTCTTTACTAAATCTTCCCTATCCCCTGTGGTCATAAAAGTATTAGTCTCTGAAGACTTTAACGTTTAACTCTTTATAATCCATCTCAAATTTGTTTTAATATTCAGTGAGAGGTAAGGGTTTGCATTTCACTTTTTTCCAATATGTAAATGAAAAATTTCCAGCACCTACTCTTTAAAAGCCCAGCCCTCCGCTCCACAGTGTTTCTGTTTATGTGTGATTCTGAGTAAGTTTCAGTGGTCTCTGTGTTCCAGTGCCTTATACCTCCATCTCTGTGCTGGCTCTGCACTGCTAATCACTTGAGCCGTACTAGAAGTTGTGATGGCAGGGAAGAAGATCCCCTGTTGGCCCTACTCTGGTGATTCATGGCCTTTCTTCTTCCTTATATATTTCAGTTCACCTTGTCAGATTCCACCCCAAAACCCCCCAAAAATTAACTTTAAGTGACACTGCTTTAAGTCTATGCATCGAGTTGAGGAGAACTAATATCTTCAGAACACTAAATCTTCCTATTCTTGAATACATCATCCTGTTCTGTTATTTGGATCTACCTTTCTATTTCTCCAAGTGCTGTTGCACTATCAGACTCCATCCCCCTGGTTTATTCACTCTCCTCGGCTCTCACGTACTGACTGTATGTCCTCTTCTCTAACCTCCAGTACCTCTTTCCCCATGCTTCATTTAGCTGATAGCCAGCCCTCAGAGGGGAACTGCTACAAGCTCCCACCACCATGACTTCATGCCAGGATCTGTACCCACCTGTTCTGTCTCCCCGCTTGTGTATATAGATGATGAATCTTTGTCCCTCTGTGGGGACCTACATGTTCACTTCTTTCAGAGCATCTTGACAGAGATTCACTCTTCTTCTCTCCTGCATCTGAATAGTCAAATGTCCCAGATTCTGCCCAGACCACTTCATTACATATGTGCTCCCTCAGTAATCTCATCTAGTCCCAAAGCATTAAATACCATCAATAGGCTGACAACTCCCAATTATATTTCCAGCTCCGCTCTCTCTCTTCAACTCCAGATTTGAATGTCACTGCCAACTCTACTTGCAGCCTAAAAGGCATAAAGAACCTAATATGATCAGCCAGATATGGTGGTGCAGGCCTATAATCCCAGCCCTCCGGGAAGTTAGAACCAGTAAGTTTGAGCTCAGCCTGGGTAATGTAGCAAGACCCCTGTCTCAAAATAAAAAACAAAGAACTGGGCTGGGAGGGCAGGGATTTACCTCAGTTGCACCACGCATCCTTGCAGTGCAAGATCCTGAGTTCGATCCCGGTTACAAATAATAATAAAATAATAATAATCATAATAATAATAATAATAATAATAATTAATAATAATAATAACCATCATCATCAT